ATTGGAAGATCTATCGGTGGAAATTGGTGGTACATCGGTGAATTGAAAGGTCTATCAATTAATTGAAAGGTCTATCGATTAATTGAAAGGTATATTGGCGTATTGAAAGGTCCATCGGTGTACTGAAGGGTCAATCGGTGGAAATTGAAAGGTCTATCTGTGGAATTTTGATTGAAATCTCGGTTGAAAGGTTTATAAATAAAAGCAACAATATTTGTTGCTTCATCATTTTCAGACAATGTAAACATCTCCTTTACAATTAACTTAGTTTTCAGTTAGAATTGAAGGCTTCTTCGCTTTCTTCGAAACATAATAGTTGAATGGTTTGTACACCAGTTCATGTTGTTTCCGTCACTTTTCCTTTTATTGTAATTATTGGTATTACGTAAGTAATCTTTAAAACTCGTGGGAAAGTATATTCACTCATCTACATCATTATAATCACTATTAAATATTTTTAATTTGATATCTAATTCAAGAAAAATTTGAATGTATAAACTACACTCATGTAAAAAGTCTCTTTTTACAATTGTGTTGTAACTATAAAACATGTACCTTTAAAAATACTCTTAACTACAGTAAGTGTATAAATCCGTAGAAAATAAAAGCTGTTTCCTCTAATAGCGATAAAATCGTTTTTGTATCAGTTTAGCCGGTGACCTTATCGTCCCCTGCGTCTTTGTCGATTCGAATGCGTTCGGTAAGCGGAATTTCAAACGAATTTTTTCCCGCCCGATAAGCGCCTGTGTAAAATTTATTACTCAATTTATGGTGAGTCAAAAGCTGTCGAATGAGGTATAAGATCATATCGGGCGATAAACGAGGACTCCGCCGTCACTTCGGGATAAAGTTATTGGTTCTAAATAGACGTCCAATCTTGGGAAACACGTCATTGCCGTCATTAGACCAGCCAGCGTGAAACTAAGCTAACCCACCGCTATCTATTGCCGAAGTATTGAGGCGTGCTCGGACTAGTCGCAAGGTCCTTTTGCATAAAGCGAAGTGCGGCTTTATTAGCCGCCAGGACTCTATAGAGCGTTAGGAGCTATGAAATTACGTGGTGGACGAATTAAGTGGCCATCACGAGAGTAAAACTCGCTAAATAATTGAACATTTCCAAACTATGGACCCAATTACGGCAGTCCAATTTTCTTTTCCATGGCTCTACCGCCCGGCTTTACCGGACACTGAATTGGCTGAATGGCAACAACTTTATATGATGTGGTAATTATCACATTGCGAACTTGCTCGTATGTTTCCCCTGAAACTTTTTCCTCGACGAGATAATTCTCAAAATGTGAAGTAACTAACTTCAACCGCCTCATTAGGCAAAGATCGGTTGAGGGAAGTTACCATCAAGGTAAACCTGTCAAGGTAAATAATTACAGTAACAAGTATATACTTGTGTCATAATCCTTAGGCCTAGTTTCATACTGAAATTAAATATTGCTTTAAAACTAAAGAAGCATAAAAAGAAAGATCATATCAATGGCTGCATATAAAACTATATCACAGGTCAACATTTGATCTAGGGACAATCGTCAGAAGTGACTATGGGAAATAGGGTTTTTTTGGGTCGCTGATAACGAATCCGAGGTCGGTTAAGCTCCATCACGTCAGGTTCAAGGTGATTTGAGGGTCAAATCAAGAAATGACCTCCAAAAAATCTGAAAAAATTCATGCCAATGTTTTAGAGGTCACTGGATCTGAATCCGAGGTTTGTTTACCACTACGATACACCCCAGAGGTCATTCAAGGTCAGCTCAAAATCATACATGAAGTATTTCGGATAGAAAAGTTAAAATCAGTTTGAAAAATCTGAAAAAATTCGTCTGAATGTTTTTGAGGTCACTGAACGCGAATCCAAGGTTACTTAAGCTCCATCACGTCAGGTTCAAGGTAATTTGAAGGTCAAATGAAAAATGACCTTCAAAAAATCTGAAAAAATTCATGCTTATGTTTTAGAGATCACTGAATTCGAATCCGAGGTTTGCTTACCCCTACAATACACCCTAGAGGTCATTCAAGGTCATTTCAAGGTCATGAAGTATTTTGGATAGACATGTTAAAATCGGTCTGACAAATCTGAAAAAATTCGTCTGAATGTTTTTGAGGTCACTGAACGCGAATCCAGTTTTTGAATAAAAAGACTTATAACCGACCTTGGATTCGTGATCAGCGACCCAAAAAAAACCTATATACCATAGTCACTTCTGACGATTGTCCCTAGATCAAATGTTGACCTGTGAATTAAGTACTTAATTTAAATGTAAATCTGCGATATAAAGAAGTGTCAACACTGTCAAAATTGTAGAAAGTAATAAAGCATTTTTAATGTAGTAATTATTGGTACTCCTGTAAAAAGATTAAGCATAAAAATTCCCAAAACTGAACAATAAATTAGAATTAGATTACTCTTTATTAGTGAAATATCCAACAATTCTTGTATTAAACCCACAAATATAAAATTGTTAACTTACTGTTAAAATTTAGTGAAAAATTGGTTTTAAGTCAAAATAACATGTTCTCAAGGTAGAACCTGGGCCAAAAATGGCATATTGGAAGTATACATGGATAGTAAGACCTAGGACTTTTTATGGCTCTGTGGTATGGTGGCAAAAAACACAACACACCAAGATGGTTCCAAATTTTCACTTCCACAAGCTATTTGAGACTCGAATAAAGAAGCAAATTTCAAAGTAACAATTTGGAATCGCTACTATATTTGCTTTGATGCTAAAAGTTGGAGCGTTTGAAGCTGTTGTAACTTCGGAGCCACTAGAATTGCAATCCTTTTAGCAAAAGTTGGAAATTGTACTAAGAGTATCAGGGCTAAAGTTACATTAAATTACCCCTGTTTTAGAGCTAAAACAACCTCGAAGATTTTGAAGTGTAGACTATGAAAGTTTGGCGCTAGAAAATGGATAGTAAATGATACTGAATATTTTCAGAAAACCATATCAAATTTGAATGAACTGTTTCGACCATTCTCTTGAATTTAACTTTTACGTACCGTGTTTCGAAAAATGAAATGTTTACTGAGAACATTTTTAGAATTTTTCGTAATTAATACCTAATTTAATTTATGATGTAGATCAAACTAATATTTGCTAAAACATGTTATAGCGTGTAATTTGTATCCATTTAATAATAAATTATAGTAGACAGTCTTTACATCCCTAAGTAATTTTCTAGTACGCCATTGTCCATAATTTATTAATATTAACTATAATACGTTTTAGAAACGCCACGGTACATTAGGCCAGCGATTCCATTGTTCCCTAAAAATGCCAGACAAAACCTTCACCCGAAAGGAAATTTTTAAATTAAATAAGTTGTCATTAAGAAGTGTTTCGATGAAAAATTGTCCGAAACAGTAATGTAACCCTATTATAACATTTTGCTCGCGCTATTAAGGAGGCGTCAGATCATTTTTCAAATGGGACTGCAGTAATAACGTACCCCGTCAAAATTTCTTAATTAAACTTGGAGTTCGGACACTAACTTTTTTCACCGTTCGTTCTTTTATTAATTTTCTAATTAGTTTCGGAGTTGCGCTTTCCGAAAGCTTTCCGGGGGAGTTTAAAAAAGTAAAGTAAATTATTAAACATGAACCAACTCGATTTTCTCAAAATGCTTTTAATGCTACGATTATTTCGTAAAGTTCAAGTTACTGCTTTGTACTTTGCATGTACCTAATATAGCTTAGACTAGGAAGTTTGGAGTGGCGTTACAGGTAATGCAAAATAGTCTCGTAAAATCGCGCAGCTAGTAGATTTACGGTAATTATAACTGGGCTCCCGATTTTATGCGAAAGGTTTTTCCTAGACGAAGGCACTAACGGTGAGAGATTTGCATAGCACGACTTGCATTTGTTGCTCTGTAAAATTGGGTAATAATAACCAGTTAAAATTTAAATTATTGTGCATTTTCAGGTAATGTTTTCAATAGAATCAGTGACATACAAATATTCTGTGACAAACATGATTTAAAAACCTTATACACAGAAAACAATTTATTTAAATTACTGAAAACCTGTAACATTGTACACAGAAAAATATAAAAAATATTATTGTGGTATTCTCTTTTGTAATCGTTTTTTTAAAAGTATTTTCGTATAACTCCACAAGAAAAATATTGCTTTTATTGCAGGGAAATTTAATAATATTGAACTATTGAATTCAATTTATATCCACTGCTAGTTTGTAGTAGTAAGTTGTACGAGGTCTGTTCAGAAAATAACCGACCTTTATTTATATAAACTTTAATTAATTACACAGCCCCACAAAAAAGTGGAATATCCGAAAGACAACACTCTGGTATATATATATTTTCGGGGTCGGTGAATTCGAATGTGGTGCCCGTTTGACTCGATTAGCTCTGGTTAAAGGTCACTTTAAGGTCAAATGTAGAGAATCAATTGCCCACAAAGTAAACCTACATATCCATACGTATTTGGGGTCGGTGAATCCAAATCCGGTGTCCGTTTGGTTCGATCAGGTCTGCGTTAGGGTCAGTTCAATTTCAAATGTAGAGAATCATTTGCGAACAAAGTAAACATCCATACCTATACGAATTTGGGGTCGGTAAAACCGAATCCAAGAACATGTGGTTATGGAAGAGGTTATGCGGAACGCAATATTACCAACCGCACATAACTAAATATCTCCATTAAAGCATAATTAAAAATTTTTGTTATATTCTGCAAAAGTAATTACAAAAAACATATATTTCTGTGTCGTGTCTTTTTATTTTAATTTTTTATAGAAATTTCAAGGCAAGTGCATAAAAATTCTTTGTTCTACCTGTAGCTTTTACGCCGTTATTATATCAGAAGACTGTTACTTCAGATGTCTTAAGTATTGTATGTGGCTGTGAATAATTTTGTCCAAAACGAATTACAATAATTGGACCTGCTCGAAAAACTGGAAGATGTACAATACGGTGTGGTGTTCAAATTTCATATTTATTGGCAATTTAAAAGAGATAACTTGGCTTACCTCCTGTCATATGAGTTGTTCCATTGAACCATGACACATTAGGCACTGGTTTACCACCAACAGCTTCGCATGTCAGTTCCATTTCAGCTTTCACCTTTCTAGGAGACAAGGTTGTGTCATTTGATAATACGTTTCCGTTACCATCTATTACTCTGATGGTATCCGGTTTTCCTAAAACAAATAATTAGCATTAAAATTTGTATATTATTACTTCAATGAAACAATAACTCTCCGATGAATTTGTCCTTTAACTAATATACCTCTTATACCTAAAGTTGCTATTTGATATAAATGGTTTAGTGAAAAGGGAAAAACCAAAAACCCGAGAATTATTGTCATGTTTTATATTTATAAGAATATGTGTTTTTTAATATATATTTATAACAATTGGTTTTGTCACTTAAAAGTCATTTTGTACAATCTAGTGACTTCGACTGGCATGTGTAAACTCTTATTTTCATTTTATTTCAATAGTAGTGTATTCAGATAAATCGGAGCATCAGAATAATATTTTCTAGTAAAATATCTGGGAACTTATTAGTTCTCATCGGTATGCTCAACTAATCATCTAGCTATTTGGATGTCCATCTAACAAGATCTAAGATATTTTGCAGGTTTCATCTCACCCACATTCAAAACAGATAGATACTCAAATAGATCACTCATCAATTCTTTCACTGAAGGGGTAGGTACTGATGAGAATACTGATTATCTTGTTTTCTTAAGTAAAAATAGAATACCTACAGTTCCTCCCAGTCAATCCAACAACGAATCAAAATCAATAATGGAACTGTGACAAACTAAGAAAATATTTCTAGAAAGCGGCACATTCAACCAGTTTGTATCATTTCGTATATTTTTTTTACGTTTTCTTCTCGCATTTAACTTATGATCTTAAAAAAATAGATAGCAATATTATTCTAAAAAGCAACTATCTTTTGTGAATATTTAGATAAAACCTTTAATAAAAAATATTACTTTGTAAATTTTAAATGAGTTTGCAAGGAATTAATTTTTACGTAGTAGTTTTATAATTTATAGATATGATACGTGAAGCTTTCTTAGGTATTATAGGGTATGCGTATCCCAGTTTAGGTAATAAATCACGCTCGACATGGAAAAAATCCTTCCCTTGTTTGCCTCGACATCCACCGTTTTTAATTTTTTAATAATAATTTCGTGATAAGAATCTTGTTATGCATGTAGCTTAAACGAGAATTTACTAACTGTATCTCGTGAACAAAATTAAAATAAAAAAATACATATTAATAAAGCAACGCCTTTGAACTACGATCGTGCATGGAAGTCATTAGCTACCACAATTCCTTCCACTTCAATTTTCTTTAACCAAAATCACACAAAAAGTGCGATGAAGTTATTAAAACAGAATCTTGTTAAATTTTAACTTAGAGTGTTACCAGTGTGGCCTGTTTACTTGTATACCAGGGAAGGCGGAAAATTAGGTACAAAATATTGAAAAGAAGTGAAATATAAAAAATGTGTTCAACATTATTTTTTATAGTGTAAGTCCATTCTTCTGCTTTTGTCCGAAATAAACTTTTGAATTACTTATATTAAAATTTGGTATTTCCCGCATCACTGATTTTTCAATTGCTAGCATTACTGTTAGTCTGTCCTTACAATCAATTTAAACGTTTACAATATTTTAAAAAACACACAAGAAGCAATACGTAAATAACAAAATTTTACACAACACCTAAACAAATTATGATTAATGAGGAAAAAACCTACTATTTGGTTACTGTCCAACTAAACAATGCCCAAACCGCATAGTAAATATGCGCTACTCCCACTCCGTCTTTCACTGCTGGCGATAGTAACCATGACCACCGCTATAAACACTTTACGGATGTAGGAGCGAGATACGCGGAGCCTACCTATTCACAGTTTTTCAAACGAATTTTGCGAGTCGTGTAAAATTGACTGCACATTACACATTTAACGTTTCCTTTTTAAAATGCGTTTCATAAGGCTAATCTATTTAATTATCCAGATAATTCTATAATTGCTTTCCATTTTTAAACATTTACTTCGGTGTAAAACTTTCCAATTTATCAATTCCTTTCTTTATCAAATTAACCCGACTCATAAATTTAAAAGAAAACGTCTTTTCTCTTTTAAAAAAAATCATTAGTAGAGGTCAGGTCTTAATTGTCTATAAATTTTGTTTCAATTAATACGGAGTTAAACTTAAGGTATCTTATTTCCGCCACATTAAGCCAAGTCAAGAATAAAATAACGCCGCTTTGTAGAAATAGCAAGAGATAACGTGGGAGAAACAAACACGACAGGAATAGCTTCTAAAATTTACCGGGTATTATTATCAAATAATGCTCCTCTGACATTATGACATCCTGCATTTCCAGTGTATACTGCCGCGACCTGACATGTCATTGGTCAACAAAAAACCTGTCGTACTTCCACGTAAGTAAGAACAAACAAAAGGGGAGAAGTAGATGATCTGATTAGTTTGGAAAAGTGCCAATATATCGTTCACGGTGTCTGGCATATCGTGTTTGTTCATACATGAAAAGCGACTGGTAAATATTAACTTAAAACGTAGTCTCCGGAAAACCAGAACCGCGAACCCGTGCCAACATTTTGACATTAACATTGGATGAAATGTTGTGGTGTAATGTTAAAACTGGAACTTTTCGTTGGCGTGGAAAAATACATAGAGGTACGTTTATATTTCTGAAACAGTCGTAATTAAACATTACGTTACATTAGGAAATGCCATTTCGGAACTTGATTATTATTAGTACAGTATAAATACATACTAAATGTATTTATTTTAAGAAAATTGAAAAATACAAAAATAAATCGAGAATTTAATAACCTGGGAAATGCTTGAGGCAACTATCTTGATGTTCAGTGACAGATGTATAGCTACCTTAACTTCTAACAACTTTAAATCAAGACCTGTCACTGCAATTAGTTATTTTTTATAATCCCAGTAAGTACAAACGGGATAATCTATATTTTGAAACAATAAATTTAAAAAAAAATCTAGGAGTACGTTACAAATGTGACCATTTTTTTATGTATAACAACTAAGACCGTTAGATTTAGGGCGTCTCTTAATGAGCCTACCAAAAACTTAAAAGTGGTAAAAACTATTTCGAATTTACACTGAAAGAAATGGGCTTATTAAACTGTTTATCTAGAATAATGTGTATAGCGCATATTAAAACTTTTATAGCCAATATACAACTTTTATTAAAAAAAGCAATCATCTCTATACTCATCAATCAGTTTAACTGGAAGGTGCTTAATACACCTTATGCATCTATGAAATAAAGGTTATAATGAATAACTTATACATTATTAGGTGTTATAGACTTTAAATTCCAGTTGTATAGTAAGGAAGATTTGTTGTATAAAGACCAGTATCCGAATTTGTATATAACAATTGTATTAACAGAATTATTCGTTCTTATACTGAATATGTTTCCGTTTTTAACGTGTAAAACGCATCTTATAATGGTTAAGTGATCGTCACCTCTCGGTGCATAATCGGTTATGATCGTTGTTAAGTTATATTCATAGTCTTGTAATAATAATCATATGTCAGACCCGAGAGCGAAGTGCGCCGACTCAATAAGAAACCTGGCTATTCCAGCCGCTGATTTAGGGTTCGCCGCACGAGCTCATCCCTTCTAAGATTTCAGTAGCATGCTATGCATGAAGCAGAACGGTACTCAACTATCTTATACAGTCCACTTTTATTGTCCATACATGTTCAATCATTGTCAAAATAAACACACAAAACCACAACGTCTTTATTATCTTTACTCAAGAAGAGAAAATACAACAATCGTAAAATTTCCGACAGTCCGCTGTGCATCGACTTACACACGTCTAGTTTGATGAAAATGGACAGTATATGCACATGTTTTGTGGGATACATGATCATATCGCGTTGTGTGAAATGGAAAATTATTATGTAAGTATCTAACTGTTTTATGGCTTGTAATTGTTTTGTTTTTTCAAATGTAAATCTTGTCTAAATCTTAAAAATTATTATTTTGTAGGTCCTATTAGAAATCGCTGATGTTAAGTTTTACATAAGATGGAGGAACAGAAGGTTAACGGTGACAAAGAAGAGCATGGGTATAAAGTCAATCAACCAGAGGAAATAAAATTATATGGAAAGAAGCTCAACCTTTCTGGGGATGCTTCATTCTTAAGGTGGAAGAGTTATAGTGCAAATTCTCATGTAATACAAGAAAATACGGGTGCATCGTTGCTAAGAAAATAAACTGGACAGTTTTGGGAGCGATTTGTCATCATTTTTAATGCTTAAAAGTATGTTTTATGTATGTTTACATTAGAACCTTAGCTTGTAATTACAGTTATCCAATAAAATTTCTGAAAACTTAATGACATATGTTTTTAACTCATACAGAGTATACAACAGTTTAATACATTTATTATTATAAAACTTATAACCAGTACTAGATGTTCTAATAACGATATGGAACACTTTAATAACAGTTATTGCTATTATTTCGTAAAGGGTATAAAAAACGTTGTATACTAGTTATACAATAATTTAATAAAGAATAAGGTTTATAGTCACTATACAACTGTGCTAGCAATACGCGTTTTATATCCAATATTCGCCTGTTTAACTGTCACATATAGTATACAATGGTCTTATAATGGCATATAGAATTCTAATAAAGAATAAAACGCATTTCTTTCAGTCTACATTTGACAATCTTAGAAGATGAATAACTTGTTTTCAAATGGAATGACCCAAATTAATTGCTATTGTTGAATGCCAAATTTTCGATTGATATAACGTTTGCCATATTTATCTCTACAGTTTTCGATAAAAATTCGGTTTTATCTAAAATTAAAAAAAAAGTATTTACCAATATTGTCGAGTAGGTTTTGAAATTATTTATTGCACAGTTTGACATATAAGAATTAAATGTCGCTTTAGTTTTGATTAACATTAGTTTTGTAACTATTTTTAAAGTTAATAAGACGTAAAGAATTTAACGTTTTAATTATATGTTCAAAATGTCACTGACCCGAGAAATGATTGACATGGTTTTTGTTCTTGATGCTCGTTACAGAAATCCATTACTGGCATCAATAGTTTATACACAACGCATTGTGAATGCACCCTTCACAATTTT